GTTTGATGTCAGATGCTCAGGTGTTTTGCTGCCGTTGTCAGTCTTTTCATGACTGGAATAACTAGAATTTTCAATATACACACCTTTGCAAAAGGGTCATTTGGTACATCCCCCCCCCAACAACCCCCCATCCCCCTTCACTGTTTAGCTGTTGCACTCTGTTACATCAAACACTATGATTTGTGCGTATTGGGTTTTGGGCACAGTCCTGCAGTGTCTGAGAGCTCCGAAAATCACAACGGGATTGAATTCACACAGCGGGGGACTGAATGCAGCAACACGAACTGTAAATACTTGTGTACATATTGGCTGTTGGAGAACTAGATAGACTACTTTTCTGAATCCAATCGTTTTATTTTATACCACGTTTTTCTCAGTTGTGTTTTTTTGAGACGAGTTATCGAAAACCAACTGCAGGAACATGATATTTGTACCAATTTCAAAATAATGTCTTTGGTTACTTGTACATAATTTTAACGCAAATAAAAATTGCTACTTTCAGTACTTTTTAAGGTTGTCGTTTTTAATAAGAATGTCATTATTATAACATAGTTATATATATTCTCTCTCTTCTATCTCTGTCTATAGAGATACATACATGCATACATATACAGAAATGTTTGATCATTCTTCTAGAAGGGAGGTCAGGCTCTAATGCATGATGAAAGGTACTCTCTCTGCCTCTGCTCTTATTTCTCCCAAATGTGTCTAATTGGGTTGCGTTCAGGATTCTGTGCAGGCCATTCAAATTTATCAACACACTCATCCATGTTTTAATGTACATTGCCTGATGTAGTGGTGGCCAGTTATGTTGGAATAGGAAGGGCCATGACCCAAATAGGCTATATGCACAGCTAGTGTTTTTCAGCCAATAATAAACTTCCGAAGAAAGCTTAATGTGACTATTTTCAGTTTTACAAGGTTCCTTTTACATCATTGATGCTGTAATTAAAATACATTCAGTTAAATAGATTAAGCATTCATTTAGTTGTTTAAGCGTAAAACAAGATGAAAGATCGTGTAACCCCTAGTGCTGTCAGCAGTGACGTAGATATTTCTACCCCATCCCCGGTACTTAGATCATATATTAGCAAAGCCTTAACACCATGTCCAAAAAAGTGACGTGACCTCACCTCATGCTTAACACCACTGCCAGCCCGGTTTTAACTTTGCGTGATCATAACCCCACCCCCACCTCTTCACTTTGCACGATCATAACGTCCCATTCACACAGGGCTTCATCTCAACGCTTGACAAAGGGCTTGTCTGAAGTTGGGGCTGACACGATCATCGTAGCAGCATCAACCAAAGAAATAAGTCAGCAATCGGCTACTGTCTGAGCTGGTGTATTTGCATACAGCAATCTGATTGGCTGACGCTTCCGTCGGTGCTTGAAAAGTTAAGCAATTACCAACTTCCGCAGCGAGCAACGTCTCTAAAGCAGCGCTGACGGATCCACAATGCAGTTCGGCAATGCCTGACGTCAATGGAGCGTAAACACACCAACAACCCCTCACATCAACACCCACAACCCACCCCACCTTATTTTTTTTCCCATATTTTGCAAGATCACCGAGACCAACTGTCTTAATTTCATGGATTCGTAAGCAAGACCAAACACCTCAACCCTCCGGTTATTTACTTCTAGAGGGCCCCACCTTTAATCTTGCTGGTGGGCCCATGCATTTGTAATTTAATGCAATGCTTCTTGCTTGGTCTGGGACCCACTTTATATCGTATATCTATCAGGCAGTGAAGATCACAGTTTTTTTTTTTTTTTTTTTTTTTTTTTTTTCAGACCTAAAACATGCCGATTTTTATAATGGAAAGACCGTTCACTGGAAGCCCTGGTGCTGGCTGGCTGAAATTAAAAGCCTGTGCATATACACCATTGTTCCCTCATGTTGGGAGCATGAAATTTTCCAAAATCTTCTTTCACTGGAACTATGGGGCCAAGATCTGCAACCCTGAAAAACAACCCCACACCATCATCCACTAAACTTTACCCTTAGCACAATACAGTCAGGCAAGTACAGTTCTTCTGGCAACCACAAAACCCATACTCTTCTATTGAACTGCCAGAAAGAGAAGTAATATTTCTCTCCAGAGAACATGTCGACCACTCTAGAGTGCAGTGATTGCATGCTTTACACCACTGCATCTGATGCTTTGCATTACACTTAGGGATGTAAGGCTATTTGGGATGTAAGGTAAGAAGCTATTTACGCACTGTTCTTGAGCTAATGTTTAAGGTTGCATGATGTTATGAGGTCTGTTGCTCTTGGCATGTTCTCACTCGGCTCTGCACTCTTTCACACATACACTTCGGCCAATTTAGCCTAATTCACTTATAGCGCATTATCTTTGGACTGTATGGGCAACTAAACCCAAGCGAACACGGGGAGAACATGCAAACCTCACACAGAAATGCCAATTGACCTAGCCGGAGCTTGAACCAGCAACCTTCTTGCTGTGAGGTGATCGTGCTAACCACTGCACTACCGTGATGCCCTAGATCACCTAATATCGCATGTTAATATCAAATATCAGTTGACTGTGAAATATTTATTAGTAAGGAAACAAGAGGCAACCTATCACCATGCCATGCTTGAGCTCCTGAGAGCAAACCATTCTTTCACTAATGTTTGTTTGTAAAGCAGTCTTTGGGTCTGGATGCTTTTTTCGAACACCTGAGTTCAATGGTTTGTCGAGGTCTCCCAAAATCTTTGGCTATATAGTTTATCTGTACGTGATGATGTACATTTAGCCATTGTTCTTCTAGTATAATACCAGACAGGCTCATCAGCAGCCCAGTCTGAAACAAGTTGCCATGTTTTTGACAACAGGAATGTTTAAAATTGGGTGGAATAATTCTGATTTTCAACTACAAGATATGAAGACATTAGTTATTCTGACCATTGATAAACCATTTTTAAATTGCTTTTAAATCAAATATATAGTAGTCAACATTTGAAGTGAATCAAAAATGTTTTTTCAAAATTGTCCTAGGACAAGAATGGGCGTTGTTTAAAAGATTTAGGTTTAGACTTCGGGTTTACAACATTAAATGGTGTAAAGTAACTAATTACAAATACTCAAATTACTGTAATTGAGTTGTTTTTCTCGGGAATTGTAATTTATTAAGTAGTTTTAGAAATACTTTTACTTTCTCTTGAGTAAATTTTGGCGAGGCAGCGGCGCAGTAGGTAGTGCTGTCGCCTCACGGCAAGAGGGTCACTGGTTCGAACCTCGGCTCAGTTGGCGTATCTGTGTGAAGTTTGCATGTTCTCCCTGTCTTCGCGTGGGTTGCTACAGGTGAATTGGGTAGGCTAAATTGTCCGTAGTGTATGAGTGTGTGTGTGGATGCTTCCCAGAGATGGGTTGCGGCTGGAAGGGCATCCGCTGCGTAAAAACTTGCTGGATAAGTTGGCGGTTCATTCCACTGCGGCGACCCTGGATTAATAAAGGGACTAAGCCGACAAGAAAATGAATGAATGAGTAAATTTTTATTGCTGTGTCTGTACTTTTACTTCACTACTTTCCTTCCACCTGCAGTCACTATTTTTTCTTGTCTATGAGGATTAGAAAAATCAGTGTTGTGATTCCTGTCCAATCAAAGGTAAATCACATCACAATAAACAACAGTACCTCAAGACATGGACACTATAAAATTGGAGCAGACTGGAAGCATTTAAAGCAGGGGTCACCAAACTTGTTTCTGGAGGGCCGGTTTCCTGCAGATTTTAGCTCTAACCCTAATCAAACCCACCTGAACATACTAATTAAGGTTTCAACAGGTATACATGAAACACCCAGGCAGGTGTGTTAAGGCAAGTTGGAGCTAAACCCTGCAGGAACACTGGCCTTCCAGGGCCGAGATTGGTGACCCCTGATTTAAAGTGTCCAAGTAGACGTCCAAAAACTTTACACGCGTTGACCCAGAGACTGTCTAGGTGCATGTCACCGATGAGAAGATGACGGATGTTTATGAATGGCCTTAAACACACAGCACGCACAAGACGTCAACATGACATCAGATTGATATTGTACTCCAACGTCGTGGGGACGTTGCAGTTTGTTTGGAAATGAAAATCAGGTAGACGTCACAATTCAATGCTTGATGATTTGTGGACGTTACCACTATGACATCTATCAGTTGTGGGATTTTAGTTATACCTGCAATAAATGTCAGTATTTGACGTCAATATGACATTGGTTTAAGATGTTGGCTCTGTTGGATTTTGGTCACTTTCCACACAACCTACAAGCAACCAAATATCAAAATCATTTGACGTTGTTATTGGACATTAAAATAACATTGTTTCTAGACTCTAACTAGACCAGGGGTGGGCAAGCTCGGTCCTGGAGGGCCGGTGTCCTGCACAGTTTAGCTCCAACCCTAATCAAACACACCTGCTTATAGATTTCTTGTGATCTTGAAGGCACTGATTAGTTTGTTCAGGTGTATTTGACTAGTGTTGGAACAAAACTCTGCAGGGACACCGGCCCTCGAGGATCAAGTTTGCCCATCCCTGGTCTAGACACTGAATTTTGGTCACCTGACATCACAACCTATTAATGTCTTATGACATTGTGTGCCTACTGGGCAATAACTATGTACTACAGAATGTTACGTTTAAACAAACACATGCACAAATTACATGTAAATCATGAGCTTTTCATAGCGCAATACTCATTACTCGAGTACTTCTAAAAGGGCTACGCAAGTACTGGTACTTTTACTTGAGTATGATTTTTCGGTTCTCTTTCCACCACTCATAACATTTAACTACTTTTAGTTAAAGTCGATGATCCACTTCCCATGTTGACTACTGTATAATTAATTCTAGGACGGTTATGATCAAATGTCAGAATAAACCAATTTGTCAAATTCAGGAATACTAATAATTGTAGCCCTTGTACTGTAAACTCAAGTCAACAAGACAATCTTTTTCTTATTTAGAAAATATTTATTTGTAAAGCAAAATATTTCACACACATTTATTTCCTACTACAACATGCCCAAAAAATTGATTTGAATTTAGCAATTTTAGTATAAATTCACAAAAACAACACTTCGAATATAAAAGCAAAGCTATTTTACACCATTGTTCCTTTCCAGACAGTGAGAGTCCACTAAGAGTTCAGCTGTTTTGTGGTCACTGCAAGTTAGGCACCCAAAATTCCCATTATATGATCTTATCCTACAGGTGGGATTGTTCTTGAGTTCTGTTTTGGTCTCTTCGGTCATAGGCAACCCCTTCGTGATGTCCTGATCCTGCATGGTCAAAGTCGGGTATGGGGTTTCTGGGTCACAATCTTTGTCCTCCAGTAGCTCACTCAGGGTGCTGATGTAGATCTGTGCCATCTGAAGCGTCTCAGACTTGGACAGCTTCCTGTCACTCTCCACATTAGGAATAACACTCCTCAGGCGGTCGAAGGCCACATTCAAGCCCAGCATCCTCCTCCTCTCTCGGGCGTTAGCGGCTAGTCTGCGACGCCTCCGGGCTCGGGCGATAGAGCTCTGCTCTTCACTGGAATATGAAAGGCCAGTGAGCCGGAGCTGGACGAGTGCGCAGGGGTCACAGCTCGCCCTGTCCTGCAGCTGCTCCTCTCTCCAGCCCATTGGGGCTTTGGGACACTGCTCTGAGTGCGATCTGTCAGTCTCTCTCCAGATAAACTGGCCAAAAGGGGTGTCCGGATGGGGCATGGTGAGCGCTAGAGTCTGATCTGAGGCTTCAGAGAACAGCAGAGCTGTATTTATTGAGGGGCGGGTGTGTGAGGGTCGTGTGCGCTGAGAAATGAATAGAAATGAGTCTCTTTGATAATGACCACAGGGAGTCTATTAACTCAGTTCATCAAAAGTGGATTAGATGCGTATGAGTGATCACTGACGGGCCTCCTGACACTCGGAGGTAAACACAGATTACTGCTGCTTAACAACTACACTAATGGCAATAAACAACTGTATTTGTTGTACGCTACATACTTCATTTGGATTCTGTTTGTAGGATGTTAAAGTAGAAGTTCTGCCTTCAAAAGTGAGAACTAAGAAGAAAAAAAACACTTGGCTGTTTAGGTGTAGTGTCAGGAATTGTACTGTACTTTAAAATTTAGGACTTTTTATTCTTCCAAAAGTAAAAAAATAAGGCTTATTTTGGTCTTTTTTTGTTACCTGTTCCATTTCAGTATTTAAATGCACCTTTGAGATGTGAATTACATTTAATACTTGATTTGGTGTTTTTTAAACTTTGCCCCTAATATTTGTTCTTATTTGTTTCAGACTCTAGGTTATGTCAACAAAACAGATCAATAATGTGACTTAAAAATAATCGATAATTATTATATTAATAATTATATTAATCGATAAATAATTAATAATCTTTTAAAAAATACAATATATATATATATATATATATATGTGTGTGTGTGTGCTAAGCATATATAAGTACACCCCTTATAAATCTTTTAAATTCATATTTTTCAATGGAAAGCTATATATTATTATATTTGTGCATATACATTAGATTAGTCTGTACTGAAGCCAAATCTGGACATAATCTAACAAAATAACTTGCGATAACGGTCCAAAAATATCAAATGCAAATAAAAAAAAAGAGGAAAAATCAAGAGAAGCAAGAAAAAAAAAGAGTTTTTGTAGGTTGTAGTTTATTTTTGTAATATTTTGCTTGAATTTAATTTTATTATCTTTTGATTTCTAAATATGTTTGGTGACAAAAATTTTATTTTAATGAATATATGTCTGTAATATATCTGTATAGTAAATCTGTTTTGTTTAAATGCACCAAAATACATTGTCTATATTCACTGACAAATGGATAAAAATATTCACTCTTAACTGTGCTTGGTTTACTCTCAATTATACTGTTATAAAAGTCAAGTAATCAAGTAAATAATATTTAATAAATTTGCCAATGTGTGTGTTTTTTTTTTTAGTTCATTAATTTATTAGATCTTTTTTTTTTTTTTTTTACTATTTAATGTCCATTAAATGTAACACACTGCCACTATCAAACAATTATTATTATTATTATTTTTAAAAATAGTTGTGGAAATTGGAATAGATCAGAATTAGTTTTGCGTAAATCTGAATGACCATTGGAAAACTATTCCCTCTGTTTTTTGACATTATTTTAATTAAAACATTAAAACACACACTTTGCCTGTGTAATTAAATAAGATTTACACATTTTAAAGCATATTTAGAAATCATCCCAATACAAGTAAATCAGTTAAGTAGCTCGTTCACAATGAATAACTTTTATTCATTCAATGAATGACTTTTGCAATAATGCCTGGTGGAATAATCCTGATTTTTTAACTACAACAAAAGAAAACATTACTTATTCTGACCATTTGCAGATATAGACTTACTGACTGTTTTATTAGCTTTTTGAAAATTTGCCTTTAATTAAATATATACAGTAGTGAACATTCGAAGTGAATCAACAATGTTTTTTTGGAGCTGTCAAGACAAGAATGGGTGTTATTCAATAGTTTTAGTACAACTTTGATGAAAGATGACGATTCACTTCAAATGTTGATCAATGTATAATTAATTCTAGCACTTTTAAAATCAAATGTCATAATAAAACCAATTTCTCAAGTCCAGGAATACTAACATTATTACTATCAAAGGATTCACTGTAAAACCCAAAAAGTTAAGGTAACTCAAACCATTTAAGGAAACCGATTGCAACAAACACTTCAAGTTCAAATACTAAATCCAATGAGTACTGTGAACTCAATCCATTTAAGTTGAAATAATGAGGTATTTAATTAACTCCTTACCTTCAACACTGAGTTCGAAACTCTTTTAAAAAGAGTAGAATTAACTTTCATTAAATTGAGTTAACTACACTCATTTCATTTGATTTAGCTGACTGTTAGACAGTATAGTGTTTCAAAAATTAGTTCAGGAAATTGAAGCACACCAGAAATCAGTTTTGCATAAATCTAAATGACCATCGAAAAACTATTCCCTCTGTGTTTTGACATTATTTTAATTAAAACAAACACTTTGCCTGTGTAATTAAATAACATTTGCACATTTTAACAACATATTTAGAAATCATCCCCAAACAAGCAAATCAGTTTAATTGCTTTACTCCTTCCTTTAAGTAGCTCGTTCACAGTGAATAACTTGGTTATTGTTTATGACTTTTGCAATAATGCCTGGAGGAATAATCCTGATTTTCAACTACAACAAAAGAAAACATTATTTATTCTGACCATTTGCAGATAACAATTAACAGACTGTTTTATACATTTTTTTTTTTTTTTTTTGCCTAAAATACACAATAGTAGACATTCGAAGTGAATCAAAAATGTTTTTTTTTAGAATTGTCCTAAGAAGTATGGGTGTTGTTCATGAGTTTTAGGACAACTTTAATTAAAGGTGACGATCCACTTCAAATGTTGACCAATGTATAATTAATTCTAGCACATTTATAATCAAATGTCAGAATAAAACCAATTTGTCAAATCCAGGAGTACGATTTACATTACTATCAAGTGATTTTTAATTATTTCACTGTAAAACCCAAAAAGTTAGGGTAACTCAAACCATTTAAGGAAACCGATTACAACAAACCATTTAAGTTCAAAACCTAATCCCAATGAGAACTGTGAACTCAATCCATTTAAGTAAACAAAGCAATTTGAGCACAGAAAACCCAATAAATCAAGAGAACTCAAACTGAGTACTGTAAAACCCAATAAGTTAAGGCAACTCAAACCATTTGAGTTAAAACTAATCTATAAGAGTAATGTGAACTTACTCCATTTAAATTGAATTAATGAGGTATTTAATTAACTCCTTACCTTCAACATTGAGTTCAAAACTCTTTTAAAAAGAGTAGAATAAACTTTCAGTAGCTTTTGAGCTAACTACACTCGTTTAATTTGATTAAGCTGACTGTTAGACAGTATAGTATTTCAAAAATTAGTTAAGGAAATTGGATCACACCAGAAATTAGTTTTGCATGGTCATCTAAATCAGGGGTTCCCAAACTTTTCAGCCAGCGACCCCAAAAATAATCATATCAGTGGCTTCCGACCCCCATTTTTCAAGGTGGTTTTACTGTAAATATGTAAACGTTGCAGACACAACTATAGGCAAATATAAACATGAGCTTACTGACAACACAAAAATGCAACAGTCTATTAGCCATATAATGTTTTTTAAAGTCATTTATGAACTTAATTACATTTTGCTTTTAAAATTAAAGGCTGATGGTTGATTGTTATTTTTATGTTGTTGTTTCTTTAATGCAACTATTAACTATATTCTGTCGGTTATAAATAAAATATGGTAATTCTAATAGTTTAATAAAATTTATTTGAGTTTTGGATATCACCAAGCAACCCCTTGTCATTGTCCGCGACCCCCCTGGGGGTCCAGACCCCCACTTTGAGAACCACTGATCTAAATGACCATCGAAAAACTATTCCCTCTGTGTTTTGACATTATTTTAATTAAAACACACACTTTGCCTGTGTAATCAAATAACATTTGCACATTTTAATAGCATATTTAGAAATCATCCCCAAACAAGCAAATCAGTTTAATTGCAGTACTCCCTCCTTTAAGTAGCTCGTTCACAGTGAATAACTTGGTTATTGTTTACAATGACTTTTGCAATAATGCAAGTGTGATAGTGGCTTAATTTAAAGCCTTTTACTCAGTCTTTTCATATAATCTGCTCATTGTACATGAAATATTCTCAGGCAATAAAGTGCAGTTCATAAAGGTCTAATTGACAGGCGACATCCGCAGCACTCAGTCTAATCCAATTACCCATAGAACACACACCGCCAGCGCAGAAAACCCCCCCACACACACACTCCACGCACTGCAATATTCAAGAGCAACAAAAGCAGATTTACTTTGCCCATGGAGGGTGAGGGGGGTATTCATGTTGTGGCTGGGTAGGTCTTGGCACACTTCACATATTAAAGCTAATGAAGCGGCTCATTGAGGCGAGGACGCGGGCTGAGATCAAACCAGTGTGGGGTGGGCGCATTCAGGGAAACCCCGTGTAGAGGGTAAATTGGGGTGGATTCACGCCTGTCAGAGCGAAACCAGCCCGAATGAAACCAAATTCTCATTGAGGGGATTAGTGACACAGGATGAATCGACGGTAGCAGCTTCTTTTCACATGGTGCCAATGAAGCCACATTTTGCAGGGCGCACGAGCCAAAACCCTGAGCTGCCCATATTGCTGCAAAGTGACACTTGTCACAATTCATTAAATCTTAGCACACACCCTGACATGCACTGGATATGTATGCCAGCAAAAATCCTGTCATGCTGGGTTTTTTTTTTTTTTTTTTCCTTTAGTGCAGAGAAGAAAAGTTAACCTGCACACTGTTGTAGCTGACATGTAGTTTTGGATTTGTTTTAAGGTTTTACAAAGTAGAAAAGGTAATGTTTGGGAAGTGTTCTGAAGGAGGTGTGTTTACACTTAATTTTGATGGTCCCTGTCACAGATAGGCTGTGATTGACTTTTATGTAGGCAAGCTAGTAAGCATGCACTAACTCACACAAACCATTTCCTCTATACACACAATTTAGATGCCGGCTGAAAAAAAAAATCAAATTTACTGTGTGTGTGTGGATACCTGACTGTTTTGTGTGATTTAGAAGTTTTTAATTTATTTGTGAAAAATAATTTTTGCAGTTTGATTATTTAATTTATTCAGCTTAACATTTTGTTATTTGGTTTAACTTTTAAAATAAATCACACCAGACTCTGTTGCAATCATAATAGTTTATTTTTCATGGTTAAAACTAACAAACAAATAATATTTAGGGATGGCTGACGTGAAACTGACATTTCGACACAGTGTCGAGATCCCGAAGCGCAAGTGTTTCGAAGCATGATCCGAAACACCCAGGTCACGTGACTAAAGTGTTTCGAAACACTTGGTCACGTGACTAAAGCGATTTAAAGCATTGATCATTTCAGAGGCGTTTCAAGACCCGGAGAATCTGTATTTGACAGGCATGATCAAAAGTATTACTCTATCTCGTAGAGCCTAGTGGACCGTGCATGTGCACATTAATACTGTGTTTCAAATTTATTTTGTGTTTGAATCCCGACTAGTCCAAATACTCCAAAACCA